AGTTTTGCCTCTAATCCTTTCCCCCTTCCTCCCAATAGCCATGTCCCTTTCCACTTGCTTGTTCTCACTTACCCCCCCCCCCAGATGTCACTCATAGCACTTCCCAATGAGTGTCTCAGGGTGCCGTTGGGATCTGCAGATGGTAAGAAGCACGCAGACCAGAGCTGCGGTGCCCACAAAGACTAGCTGACCCCAAATAACATGGCATTGTTACTGCCAAATGTATCAAATAGCCCAATCTCATTATCCCCAGTGGGGTATACAAATCTAGCCATTTGTTTATACCGGTGCACTCAACAGTTGGTAACTTGCCTTCCGATACTTTGTCTTAGTCCATTAAGGCTGCTAACGAAATACCACAACCTGGGTGGTTTATAAAAAATAGAAATTAGTTTAACACTTATTGAGCCCTTCTTATAAGCCCAGCACTCCACTAAGCAATTTACATACATTTTCTCACTTAAGCCTCATGACAACCCCATGAGATAGATACTATTATTATCCTTAGTTCACACACATTAATAAAAAGAAAGTTGTAAGGAACTTGCCCCAAGTCTCTCAAGTGAGTAGCAGAGCTGGGATTTGGTTCTGAGTCTGTCTGACTCCAAAGGTCAAATTATTTTTTTTTAAAGATTTTATTTATTTATTTAACAGAGAGAGAGAGCACAAGTAGGCAGAGAGGCAGGGAGAGGGAGAAGCAGGCTCCCCGCCGAGCAGGGAGCCCAATGCGGGACTCGATCCCAGGATCCTGGGATCATGACGTGAGTTGAAGGCAGCCGCTTAACCGACTGAGCCACCCAGGCGCCCCAAAGGTCAAATTATTAACTGCCACGCTACTCAACCTTTTAAGTTTTCTTAAAGTGAGTGCAAAATTAAAATTACCTAGAGTCTTTTTTTTTTCAATAAGAAAATTGTATTATTTGCTGTTGTGATGAGGCTTGCATTCTGACCACTGCCTAGTGCTAGGAACAGATGCACCACTTTGCTATAAGAAAGTGGCATTTTGGAGAAATCATGGGGGTGCCACTTGCAGGCTGATGGGCATAGCTGTAAATTCATGTGGGAGCCGCCTCCTTCTAAGTGGGCTGCAACTCACAGCATTGCTGAGTAATTCTCCCATTCAAAGTGGAGTTGACCACTACCTACTTCTAATCTTTTTTACACCTCATGCCTCTATCATTAAAAAAAAGTGGTTAGGGGCGCCTGGGTGGCTCAGTCGTTGGGTGTCTGCCTTCGGCTCAGGTCATGATCCCGGGGTCCTGGGATCGAGGCCCGCATCAGGCTCCCTGCTCCGTGGGAAGCCTGCTTCTCCCTCTCCCACTCCCCCTGCTTGTGTTCCTTCTTTCGCTGTGTCTCTCTGTCAAATAAAATCTTAAAAAAAAAAAAAAGCATGGTTACCTCATGTAAAGGATCTCTTGAATTTAATGTATTCTAAAAACTTTGAGGGACAAGATGCATACTTTTGGGTACAGAAAGTATCTGTGTTACAAATTGTTACAAATATACATATTTATAACACGTGTAAAAGCTTTTTGTAAATATACATAAATTCACCAACAAGGAGCATAGGAGAGATTCCTCAGCTGCCTGGAGAAGCCATTTCCTTTTAGAAAGTCCTCAAGTATTATCATGCTCTGAGGGTTTGGAGCTGGGCTAATGGTGAGAATTATCCAGTTTCTGATGATGTATTTAAATTCTGGAGGCAGGAGCTATGGGGAAAAAGAGCTACATCCTCTTTGGAATAATAGCTCAGTCCCTTGGACGAGATGTCCATTCTCTTCCTTGAAGGGAGCATCATCTCTGGTCAACTAGAACAAAAAAAAAAAAAAGAAAAGAAAAAGAAAACAGCTGCTTTTTCAATTTCTTAAAAAAAAAAAATTGGTTAGTTTCTGGTTCAATACCAGTGTAGGAAGAACTTTCAGTGCTATAATCTCTACTTTATAAATTGTAGCACATCAAGTCCTACGCCAACAAAAAGTGAACTTAAAAATATCCTTTCATTTGTTTAGAACAAAAGGAGTGTTGAAAGTGATCAAATTAGTATGATGTGGGGGCGAGGAATGTAAGCTCCCGAGTCTGATGCCTAGATCAGATCCCCATTCTATCACTTAACATATTGTGTCATCTTGGGCAAGTTACTTAAAATCTCTGGGCTCTAGGTTCTTCACCTATAAAACAGTGCTTGTTTTATGAGTCAGTTGTGAGGATGAAATGAGATTATGTCTATAAAGTGCTCAGCACAGGGTTGGGCAGTCAAAGCCCAATAAACAGAAAGAAGCTGTTGAAACCTCACCATCTACCGGAAAGTGTTGGAGACAGTCTAAAGTTTTGTCACTTAACTTAGATTATATATATTCTTTTTCTATATATAAACTATATATATCTATCTATCTAATCATGGTTAGCTAGTCAAAGCATTTCCTTGAGTGCATTTTGTTGACACCCTCAGCCTATCTTGAATTCAGGAACGAGGCCCTGGGCAGGGCCCCTCACACAGAGCTCCTTCCTCTGCCTTCCCAGCTGCGTGCCAGGTTTTCCAGTTCCATCAACCACCCTCCTGGGGCAGTGACATAATTCTCGTTATCTGCCTTCTGTTAGGAGAACGACTGGGTAACAGGCACAAGCGATAGATTTCTGCTGACCTGGGGTTTTTCTTTCAGCTGTGAGTGACACAGAAATGCAATCAGCAGGGCCTGGGTGAGCTCTGTCAAGTGATTTCCACCAGGCCCCTGTCTTGTTTCTACTGCTTTGCTTGCTGTCCTATGTTACATGTTGCAGAGGCTTCATGGTTTGAAGACAGGATAAGCCAGAAACTGGGGTATCTTTCTCCATGACCGAATGTGACATCTGGGGTTCAAAAGTAATTCTTGCACGCATGCGCCATTGTGCTAATATTAATACTAGCATGCTGATAACGTGTGGTCCTCTAGCCCGCTTTGCCCATCCCTCCTCCTGCCCAGTCTCTTCCTCCTCACCCCACACTTTTTCTTCCTGTCTTTTTTTTTCTTAAATCAACAGCTAACAATTTGTTGAGTGCTTACTATGTGCCAGGCACTATTATAATGACTTTACACATATTAACCCACTTAATCCTCACAAACATATGAGAAGACACTACTCTTATTCCCTTCCTACAGGAGTGAAAACCAGACCAGGCATTAAGGAATTTGTCCGAGGCCAAACAGCTTCAAAGCTTTCATCAGCCTATCTATATCTCTTTATTTCTTTTAAATTATTGACCATTTGAATACTCGTGTTTAGAGATACTTTTTTTTTAGAAGATTTTATTTTATTTATTTGAGAGAGAGAAGGAGTGAGAGAGAGAGCACAAAAGGGGGTAGGGTCAGAGGGAGAAGCAGACCCCCTGCCGAGCAGGGAGCCCGATGCGGGACTCGATCCCAGGACTCCAGGATCATGACCTGAGCCGAAGGC